GGGGTGGCTTTTAGGGGTGCGAGCGCCGCATGTGGATAATGGATTTTGGTTGGGTATATTTTTAGAGAATTTTTGGCGTTATTTTTAAGAAAAAAGCTGAACACCAAAGGGTGAAAAATGACACTTCTATTTTAATCATCTATAGGGGTGGCTTTTAGGGGTGCGAGCGCCGCATGTGGATAATGGATTTTGGTTGGTTATATTTTTAGAGAATTTTTGGCGGTATTTTTAAGAAAAAAGCCGAACACCAAAGGGTGAAAAATGACACTTTTATTTTAATCATCTATAGGGGTGGCTTTTAGGGGTGCGAGCGCCGCATGTGGATAATGGATTTTGGTTGGGTATATTTTTAGAGAATTTTTGGCTGTATTTTTATAAAAAAAGCCGAACACCAAACGTGGAAAAATGGCACTTTTATTTTCACCATCTATAGGGGTGGCTTTTAGGGGTGCGAGCGCCGCATGTGGATAATGGATTTTGGTTGGGTATATTTTTAGAGAATTTTTGGCGGTATTTTTATGAAAAAAGCCGAACACCAAACGTGGAAAAATGACACTTTTATTTTCACCATCTATAGGGGTGGCTTTTAGGGGTGCGAGCGCCGCATGTGGATAATGGATTTTGGTTGGGTATATTTTTAGAGAATTTTTGGCGTTATTTTTAAGAAAAAAGCCGAACACCAAAGGGTGAAAAATGACACTTTTATTTTTGACCATCTATAGGGGTGGCTGTTAGGGGTGCGAGCGCCGCATGTGGATAATGGATTTTGGTTGGGTACATTTTTAGAGATTTTTTGGCGGTATTTTTAAGAAAAAAGCCGAACACCAAAGGGTGAAAAATGACACTTTTATTTTTGACCATGTATAGGGGTGGCTTTTAGGGGTGCGAGCGCCGCATGTGGATAATGGATTTTGGTTGGGTATATTTTTAGAGAATTTTTGGCGGTATTTTTAAGAAAAAAGCCTAACACCAAAGGGTGAAAAATGACACTTTTATTTTAATCATCTATAGGGGTGGCTTTTAGGGGTGCGTGCGCCGCATGTGGATAATGGATTTTGGTTGGGTATATTTTTAGAGAATTTTTGGCGGTATTTTTAAGAAAAAAGCCGAACACCAAAGGGTGAAAAATGACACTTTTATTTTTGACCATCTATAGGGGTGGCTTTTAGGGGTGCGAGCGCCGCATGTGGATAATGGATTTTGGTTGGGTATATTTTTAGAGAATTTTTGGCGGTATTTTTAAGAAAAAAGCCGAACACCAAAGGGTGAAAAATGACACTTTTATTTTTGACCATCTATAGAGGTGGCTTTTAGGGGTGCGAGCGCCGCATGTGGATAATGGATTTTGGTTGGGTATATTTTTAGAGAATTTTTGGCGGTATTTTTAAGAAAAAAGCTGAACACCAAAGGGTGAAAAATGACACTTTTATTTTAATCATCTACAGGGGTGGCTTTTAGGGGTGCGAGCGCCGCATGTGGATAATGGATTTTGGTTGGGTATATTTTTAGAGAATTTTTGGCGGTATTTTTAAGAAAAAAGCCGAACACCAAAGGGTGCAAAATGACACTTTTATTTTAATCATCTATAGGGGTGGCTTTTAGGGGTGCGAGCGCCGCATGTGGATAATGGATTTTGGTTGGGTATATTTTTAGAGAATTTTTGGCGTTATTTTTAAGAAAAAAGCTGAACACCAAAGGGTGAAAAATGACACTTCTATTTTAATCATCTATAGGGGTGGCTTTTAGGGGTGCGAGCGCCGCATGTGGATAATGGATTTTGGTTGGTTATATTTTTAGAGAATTTTTGGCGGTATTTTTAAGAAAAAAGCCGAACACCAAAGGGTGAAAAATGACACTTTTATTTTAATCATCTATAGGGGTGGCTTTTAGGGGTGCGAGCGCCGCATGTGGATAATGGATTTTGGTTGGGTATATTTTTAGAGAATTTTTGGCTGTATTTTTATAAAAAAAAGCCGAACACCAAACGTGGAAAAATGGCACTTTTATTTTCACCATCTATAGGGGTGGCTTTTAGGGGTGCGAGCGCCGCATGTGGATAATGGATTTTGGTTGGGTATATTTTTAGAGAATTTTTGGCGGTATTTTTAAGAAAAAAGCCTAACACCAAAGGGTGAAAAATGACACTTTTATTTTCACCATCTATAGGGGTGGCTTTTAGGGGTGCGAGCGCCGCATGTGGATAATGGATTTTGGTTGGGTACATTTTTAGAGAATTTTTGGCGGTATTTTTAAGAAAAAAGCCGAACACCAAAGGGTGAAAAATGACACTTTTATTTTCACCATCTATAGGGGTGGCTTTTAGGGGTGCGAGCGCCGCATGTGGATAATGGATTTTGGTTGGGTATATTTTTAGAGAATTTTTGGCGGTATTTTTAAGAAAAAAGCCGAACACCAAATTGTTGTATTTGGACATTCTTTTTTTCACAATAGACATAATATGATTAAGGGTTGTTTTCACCCTTTATGTGAATAGTTTTGGTTTTTTATTGATAATTATTGTATTATTTACTACTCTGAGTGATGTTATTGGGTTTTTATTAGTAAATGAAAAAAAAAAATTTTCGTTCATTTGATCGTTCCAAACTTTTGTCTCATATTATAAATACAATAAGTTTAGTAGAAATTTTAGTAATTGTGTTGCAATTTAGTAAAAACGTGTTAAAATTTGAAATATTGAAAAGTATTAGACTTTTGAAAATATATGTCAATCTTTTAATAAATGGATTTTAAATTTTAGTAAATTTTTACAAATTTCAATATAATTTTTGGTAATTTTAGTAAATATTTTTTGGGATTTAGTATTTTTTATACTAATTTTATATAGTTTTACACGTATTCCCTAAATTGTTACAATTACTTAGTAATTTTAATTTTGCGTAAAGTTTGAATTTGAATTGATTTCGCGCCAGTCGACAATAGTTGGCGCGCATGCTACGGGTTAGGTTAGGCCGCACTCTCACCTCTCGGCTGAGCAGGAGTTGTCATGGCAACGTGTAGGACTAACAGAGATAGTAAATTCAAATTTAAATTTTCTCTCTCTCTTACTCCTGCAGGCAGGCAGGCAGGCAGGCAGCCAGAAGGTGTGAGTGCGCCCTTAGAGCGTTTTTCCAGCGTCCTGCTTCCGTCGAGAAGGCATGGTCTTCACTTTCGTTTTGATTATCAAATTAACAGCCTCATTCTAATTTTATTTTTAAGAAGGAAAAATTGTATAAAAAGGATACTGAGAGTTAACATGAAAAAATTTTACGTTATTCAAATATAACTGGCAAATCAACAATGTATATTTAATCTCTTTAATTTTGACAAAAACAATGTTTTTTTTCATTTTTTTCTTAAATTTTTTAAATTAATTTTATCAAAATTAAAAATGGACTTAGTTATTTTACTGAATTTCAACAAATAAATTGAGTTTTAGAAAAATTCTCCAATTAATAAATTCGTCAAATTTCGCGAGTATTATTGTCGTGAAGTAATTTCGATTTCAGAGAATCAAAATTGCTATCTCCGTTAATTTTGTAGCGTCATTTAAGAAACAATTTTTTTTTTTTTTTTAATAACATTACAAATTTTATTTTAAATAATATTTAAAATCTAATAATGTCTGCGTATTTCATCTCCGTTTGAATAATGAATTTCTTTTTATTTCTCAAGGAAATGTCGCGATTTCTAAATTATTATAAAATTATATATGTCTTTACAATTTCATTATTTAAAGAAAAAAAATATTTTTCACCTCAAGAATTCAAAAATTAGAAAAAGTTTTCGTTCGAAGGAAATTTAACTGACAAGAATGTATAGGAAACTCTGCGTGAATTCCTAAGCAGAATCGTGTGAATTGACTGTACAGAGAAGAGAAAGAGTGAGAGAGAGAACAGGGAGAGAGAAGTAGGAAAGGATTGTATTGATTCCTGAGGAATGTTGATAGTGATTCGGTACAAGTTATCAAAGTATAGAATCACAGTTGTGACTTTACTGAACACACTTCTCATTCAAAACACATGTTGGCATATGATTAAACTACAATCATATACATATATACTCCTATCGTTGCCTTAGATTTATTGATGTTTCAAATGAGTTTTCATCCAATTTTGTATACGTATATGCGGATGACTCTTCAGAAAGAGGTCATTTTTTTCTTTTCAAATTCCACAAACTTAAAATATATATATATATATATATATATATATAATATTATTGAAAAAAATTTCGAATTATTTTTAACTTTTTTTTTAAACTTCAATCTAAATATGAATTATTTACTATTGATATAATATAATTAGTTATTAAATGAATTGTTAACCGTTTTGACTAATTTTTAGTCAAAAATGACTAATTGACAGTAGAAAACTACTAAATCATTTATTAAAGTTTAGTAATTCAATAGTAGCTTTACTAAATGAATTAGTAGTTTTCTACTAACAATTAGTCAAAATGGTTACTAATTAGTTAATTGAATTTACAATAACAATAATAATATTATTATTATTATTATTATAAAAAAAATAATTTTTTGTATAATACAAAAACTTTCTTAATTTGATTAGTGAGAATTTGTTCACTAATTCAAATTAGTAGAAATTTTCGCTAATTTTTAGTTAAATATTACTATTTGACAATAATATTACTATATTTGATTTACAATCACTTTTTTTACTAAAGTTTTAGTGAAAAATGAGTATAAATTTCATTAATTAAATTGGTGAACAAATTCTCACTAATTAAAATTTAGAGAGAAATTTTCTCCCTTACAAATTATATTAAATATTAACCAAATAAATTGTGTTAATTAAATAATAGTGAAATAAATTTAAATTTATTAATTATTAATTACAATACAGTTTATTTACTCTTTCTTTCTCTTTCTTAAAAGTAGGGTTCTATAACATAAATTAAATAATTATTAATTAAATTAAAGTAATTAACTACATAAATTAAATAAATAAAAAATTAACAACATATTTCTTTTTCTGTTACAGTAAAAAAGGCGAGATTCGTCGGGGTTCAAGGTTCGTATTATTATTAAGAAAATAAAAATATTAGTTGAAAAAAAAAATTTTTTTATGCTGAAAAAAACTATTTTTGCAAAAACAATTTTTATTTATAAATGTAAAATTATATAGTACTATAGCATGTAGTATTAATAGCAGCTGTAACAATCGATGTTACAATTGCCCTGATATATACTGTTTATAGTATCGCTTTCTATATTTTTTGCTCCGCGACTCTTTCTCTTACGATTCATTCATAAAAATAAAATAAGCTTCATAAAGCTTATATTTATGGGATATAATTTCGTTTGAAAAACGCTTTTTCATTTTGTTCCTCGCTTTTCAAAGCTTTTCTATATACAATATATATGTATACACACAATATAACGTACTGTAATTCATAAATTTCTTTCCCCTTGAATTCCTATCTAAATTCCTGAAGAAGAATTGGGAATCAAAAAATTGTTTTATGAGTTGTTGTTTGAAATATTTCGGTTGTCATAAAATAAAGAAAACGTTTTATAAAAAAAAAAGTTATACCTACAGCATATTCCATCAAACGTCATGTATATGCTTTGTAATGTGAAATAGGCCGCTGAAAAACGTTGAAGCTTTATTACCTCTCACTTTTTTATGTTTACCAACACAATTTCAAATTTGAATTTTTTTTACGTTTACCAAAATAAATATACCAAATATTTCAAAAAAATTTTATTTATTTTTTTAAACGAGTTTTAAATTTAAAATAAAAATTATATGAACAATTTTTTTTGAATTTTATCCATATCCATTTTATTCATATAAAAATAGTCTAAATATATATATATATATATTTAATAAACTTGCGAGTTGAAAACAAATTTTTCACTAAGTAAGTCATTTCAGACTAAATTAAATCTAGAAGCAATATTTTTTTTGTACATATAATTTTATTTGAATCGGTGATTGTTTTTTTTTCAAAGAAATAATTGGTTTTTAATAAAAGTGTTTTTCTTTTTCAATTTACAGCACAACAATGTAACTCCTACGTTGCTCTTAAACTGCAAAATGTCAAATCTACGACAGTGACTGTGAAAGGGGCCAACCCATGTTGGGAACAAGACTTTCTTTTGTGAGTAGAAAAATTATTTTATCAGTAAAATAAAACAGAACATATCAAAAAATTTTATATTTACACTGAAAAAAATATTTATTTGATTCAAATAATCGGTTACTTGACTATTATCAAATAATAATTATTGTAAAAATAATAATTATATGAGTAAAAATAATAATACCAAATAATGATACATAAATGCTATCCTACAATATATCTTATAACGTTGAATTTAATTTATTATTGGTTTTGTTTTAAATTATTTATTACTATATTTTCAAGACAATCAACGTTATCTACACTTTTAAATTATTAATTTTGCCAAGACTCAAAGTTATTTTATTGAAAATAACTAAACCTAAAAAATAGTTAAGAACCCGAAAAGGTAATATTATAATTGTAATTAGGAAAATCTAAAACCAGCTGAGGAATACTTGACAGCAACAATAGACCGCGGAGAGGGGAATAAGGATAAACACCAGTAATTAGACAAAATTTATAACAATGACACTATTTATTAATATTCACTTCAAATTTTAAAAAAAGTTAAGTAACGGCAGAAGGTCGAAAGACAAGATTTATATTTTATTTATTCAATTATACTTTATTGGGACTCATCGTCCATTTGACGACGACGATGACGCCTCGTATCATTTTTATTACACGAAAAAGAATAGAACACAACTTGACTCTACGAACATCAGGATGAGAATGAGAATAAAATGGTTGACGAGTCAAACTCGAAAGCGTTGCTAAACAGCGGCTTCACTTCTCGGTGTCATTAAGATCAATTAATATTTAATAACCCAGTAAGAAAAAGAATTGGGAGTAAGCGAAAAGAATTGTTGGCAACTTAAGCTGAATTCGGTTCGGCAAAAAAACTGAATTGGAACGTTACTGTAAATCATTTTTTTCTTACCGTGAATTCTTTTTTCTTGAACATTTGAATTGACGTTTGTTTATTCGAGTTAGCATTATAAATGAATAGAATAAATGTTTCGAAGTCTAAAAGAGCCGATTTGGAATAAGAAATATATAATTTTTTAAAAAGAAATAAAAGTGAAATGTGACAGATTTACCGATAATCGATACGCAGTCGTCGGTAACGCAGATCCCTACAATATCCGATGTTAAATTGATTGATGCGAGAAGTCCATAGGAAATTGACTGCTAGTATTGATTTGACAGATCGTCAACAAAACAGCAATTTCGTCTTTCTGGTGTTCTTGAATATTCGAGACTCTCATCCAAATATGTACACCAGGAAGCTCTTCCCTTGATAACTTCTAGTTTCTATGATAGATAGTGATGTCCTCAACGTCTTTGTGACCCGGCGAGAATCCTCAATGCCTCGCGAGAGTTTTCGTAACAGAACGAAAGGACAAATCAAAATCGAATTTATTTATTACAAGTCAACTATTAATCTGACGACTTTGGCAAGTTGGTTTGTTAATACGTGAATATATTATTTAAAGAAAATGAAGTGAGTATCAAAAGAAAACAATTTTTATAATTTATAACATTTCACAGACATTATGGCTGGAATCCCACCCTGGTGTCATTTATTTACTAAATTTACTATTTTTAAGTCATTTGTACGCTTCAAAATGCCGCGTTACAACCTATATTGCAACATATTACAAATAGTTTTTTTAAAAAAAATCTCTTTTTGAATGACAATGGGAAATATAAGAATTATATTTTCCTTACAATTTATACTGTCAATCGTAGTCGAGGCAATGTATTATTAATATACACTTTTTGAAAGTTCGAAGGCATTGCGTGAATTTCAAGTAAAACCTGAAAATGACAAACGACGAATATTTGCATCCTAAAATCTACATTTCCGGTGGCATGGTACGACCATCTGCCAATGAAATCGTATTCGCGGTATTTTCAACTAGTAACCCAGTTTCCACTTTCTGAAACTTGTTATGATCTAAGAAAATCGTAAATAAAGCATCCACGTTGGCGTCTTTACTTCTAAATCGTAAAATCCATTTATACCATTTATAGTTGAATAGTAAATCCTTCACTTCACCTCTTCAAGGACCCGTGAGCATTATCTTTCTCTCTCTCATACACACTCTCTATTTTATTTCGCTATGTTTAAATTTTACTATTTTCTGAATCGCGATAAGAAAATTTTAATTGATTTCACAAGGTTTATACCGATACTTTTAAATCTTTGAAAATGTAAAAAAGCCTTAAAATTTTTTTAAAAAAATTTCCAGACAAATTAAAAAGTAAAAAAAATATAAAAAATTGCAAATCATAAATAGATATTAAATAATTGGAATGTATCTGTTTTCGATAAAACAGTAAAGTAAATAAAGTTACATCAATTTCGTAATTGAATAATTTTACACAATTTCAAATAAATTAATTACGATAAATAATACTTAACTTATATATATTTGTAAATAAATGTTAGTAAATTTAACATTTCTTTTAAAAAATTTTTAATTTCGTTCATTAATTTTATTCATTGTCAATTAGTTCTTTATTATCTTCGTTTTTCATTTTTTTAAATTAATAATTTAGTAAATCGGACTTTTTTATATGTTTAAATAATAATTAAATTACTGATATTTAAAAATACGAACACTATTTTTATGAAAAAGACTAAATTAAGAAAGCGGAATTTCTTATTTTCGTTCAAATAAATTTAAATGTTTCAAATTTTCCCGCGTTGCACAAACTGATCGCGATGGAGGTTAGTTCGCTCAACGCCGCAAAGGGTGAGCCTGAGACAATTCTTTTCGCTGCTGAGATGTCGATAATAATCGGGGCGGTTAGGCTCGAGGCTTGGATAGAATCCTCAAACTGGTACTCGTACCTGAGTCTAATGGTACCACGAGGATCGGGTGCCCACTTGGACTTGTATTTGCTCCGGCAGATACTTGTCCTTGTTCCAGTCATCTGGTGTTGGATTCATAATGACAGTGGTTAAAAGCTCACATCGCTTAGAGCGAAACATTGAAAACGAAACTGATCCCAAAAGTGATCAGTTTTCTTTAAAACTGTCGACGTGTGAGTTGAGGCATAACAACTCGGGCAGGAACCTGCATAGTTCCTAGGGATTTGAAAGGTCCCGTCCTAAGTCGAGGATCCGTGGTGTCCTATCCTAACCAACGGAAAACGACGATATTAAGTTAAAGTGAGAGTCAGTGTTGTTGTACGATGACTATGTTAAACGAATATTGGAACAACGATATACAGCGAGAGTCACGAATCAATTTGCGAATTTCTGAAGAAAAGAGATAAGTTTAATGAGGACTATTGTCCATAGAAGTCATACCGTAGGTAAGCCGATAGGCCAGGTACAACGGACCCCATCTAACCTCCTTTTCGAAAGTGAAAATGGAGTTACATAATCGACCTTGTTGCCCACACTACTGCGAATTCCATTTTCTTACAAAAATGTATTTTTCTAACACACGCACCGAAAGTACACCGTTTCTTACCTGTGTAACGGAAGAAAAGTATGTCTTTTCCGACTAGCGGGAGGGAAAGTTACATTCCCTCCCGGTGACGTCACTAAGCGGGAGGAAAAGTAACTTTCCCTCCCGGTGATGTTATTATTAAGTATTAAATATTAATCAAAGTATGAGCAATAGTGAATCTCAAACGTCTGGTACACCACCAGTAGTAACTATACTGCTACCAGTAACAAACATACCATCATCAATAGTATCCACACTACCACGTTTGTACTTTCGGTATACGTGTGTTAGAAAAAATAGTATGTGCAACTCGGGAGGAAAATAATTTCCTCCCTAGATGCACAATATACTATTATCTATTCTTTGCACCAAGTACTGGCTTGTTCCACTTAAAAATTTCCTTTTTTGAAATATTCCCTCATTCATTACACGTCTGACTGAACAAAAAACTAAATTACTTAAAGTCGCGTATAAATAAATTAAAACTCGTTATAAAATTGTTGCCGGCCTGACCCAATACTGACTCACACTACTTCAAATAGTCATTTTCTAAAAACAGTCATTTACTTAGGAGATGTCAGACTGAAAAGAGAACTTTACTATATGTACTTATAGTCATATTTTAGTGAACTTAAACTAAATTTAATAACATTAATAGTACAAGCAAGATTTAGATTAAAATATTTTAATTCTAACTTTTTGTTGTATACACTTATCTATTTTTTCGACATTTGACTATAGTATAATTCATACTACTAAAAACCGTGTTTTAGAATATTGGAACTATTTTTTTAAAATTAGTTATGGTCCAACCAAGCGCGAGCTTGTACTATTTAAAACCGAGACATAGATCTATACTACTAGAAATTATATTTGTATTCAAATTAAATATACGTACTTCCTTTTTGTCATTTAATAATAATTACAAGACATGTAAACACAGTTTTCCTAAAAGTCTCAAATTGAGACCAAAAATTGCATCAAATCTTTGCAACGTTTTGATGCACATAAGTTATATCAAAAAGAGATCGTTTTGTGTATAATTTTTAGAAATGATAAACGAAACGGTCTCATTTTTTGATGCAAAAAATTTAATCAATTTATATCAATCATGGCCGAATTGAATCTACTCATAATTTAACGAATTTTTTTCAGATATTTTGGTAATAGTACAATTGCGGAGACCATTTCACTATTTAATTCGAAAATGAAAACAACAGAAAATCAAAGACAATGTGCAATTTGATAATTAAAAAGTGACAGCTTATAAACATAACCTAAAATGCAGGAGAAAAAATTTGGCGATAAAATCAATATAGCCGAGCTTTTTAGAAGGTAGATGGCAGTTTTGCTTTTTATAAAAACGATTCAGAAAAAATTTAAAGAAAGAAAATAGATGAGTGCTGCCATCTACCTTCTACAAAGCTCGGCTATATTGATTTTATCGAGAAATTTTTTCTCATGCATTTTAGGTTATGTTTATAAGCTGTCACTTTTTAATTATCAAATTGCATATTGTCATTGATTTTCTTTTTTTTTCATATTCAAATTAAATAGTGAAATGGTCTC